TCTATGTTAGCAAAAATTTAAGGCCAGGAATAGGTTCCTTTAACCGTATAATAACTTAAACAAATACCTTGCACCTTTCATATTTCTACCAAAGTGATATCTATTAGAATAATGGAGTTTGGAGGACACACTTGCCTTTGGGTAATATAATTTGAAATGATATCCTTAGAAAGAATAAATAAAAGTAGCTTAAATATTAATATGTGCTATCTAAAGTGAACTAGAATTCTTAGTTCACATTAAAGGCCTTTTTTGCTGTTTGATGTCTTTTGATTTTAGTGTTGGCAGAATTTTGTGAGAGCAGGATAGAGCTGAACCACACTAAAATTGAGACCTCAATACAGGAAAAATCTAGCTTTTTCTTTTTACAGCAAGAAGTAGGAAAATTAGTCAATGCATTTTCTACCTTAACGTGTAATTGGATTCAGAGAGAAGCTAACTTAAAGCAGGACCAGGTCTGACATGTAAAATCTTCACACGGTAACAAGAATCAGTTTGGTTTGTTCGCTGTCATTTCTCATTATCATCTTTGTCATGAGAATGGATTCATGTTGTGCCATTTTCTGTTCTTGTTACAATCTTTGTCACATGAATAAGATATCAGGATGTTAATGCCTGGCTTACAGTCTTCTGCGTGTGATGATACTGTACAGGAGTACGCTGACCTTTGCAATATTACGTATTCTGATTGGTTGTTCATTTCACCTCTTTCCTACAAGTTAATAAGGCTGTAAAAAGGAGAGAACTGAAACAGCCAGCCAGTCAAATTATAGAATATTGAAAAGGTCAGCGCGGTACAGCACAGAGGGAAAAAATTACGGAATATATGGTGCATTAACATTCTTGTGACAATGATTATAACAAGAATGGGAAAGTATACCCATTCTTGTTACTTCAGTCTAGAGAGCCCAACTGAGTGATATTCCCCAGATGGCAATGATACACGCGTCCCTGAGTCATACATGGGAAAATATCTGTTGTTTGCTTAAATAGGATGATTTAATGAATATGGGAAAATATGCTGATTTTTCCCTAAATATAATTGTATAGAAAACACCCTACTATTCAACCATAAGAATGTTAACAGTAAAATTTTAGCCTTCAAATGGACATTGATGTTGTTAATATTTTAGGACGACTTCATATATGAAGCTAAAGGAAAGTTTCTTTGCAAGTGAAAGCTGCAGGACAGGAGATTTATTTTGGTGGTTTCTTTATTTAACATTTTTTCATTCAATATAAATAGGAAAGTAGGAATGCATGAATTAACCTTTTTGAAAGTTCTTTAGAATGTGAAGTATACACATTCTATTACTGTGAAATAGTATCTAGGAATTTATTTAAAATTTACGTGACCTCTACGAAATGTGTTTTCTTTGTGTGATGCATAATGTTGGCCTATATAAAAGAATCTTTCTTTCCCCTGTGTCTTCCATTAGGGGAGGGAGGAGAAATACTTAAATCAGAAATCCTGAAGGTATTGTTCTCAGGTATGCAGTAACCATTACTCATTTTTAAAATTTATGTGTATTAAAATTTTCTTATCAAACAACTGTACTATATTTTTTAGTCCATAAAGATAGACCTGGTTTAAGAGTTAGTTTTTTAAACTCTCTGAAGATACATTATATCACTAATAAAAGTAACCATTTTATAGCCCAAAGCTAGAATCTAAAGGTATCAATTAATAAGGATGTCAAATGTGACCTAGTTGATTTTGGAAGCAAAATAAATGAATTTTGATTGTAAATTTAAGATCGTCTTGGAAGAAGCAAAATAGAAGCAGCCTCCTCGACACAGAGGACAGACTGATCGGTGCCAGAAGGAGGGGGTGGAGGCTGGGCAGAGAAATGGAAGGGATTAGAACTAAATTACAACACAGCCACGGGGTGGAAAGCAAAGCCCGGGGAAGATAGTCAACAAAATTGGAATAACTAGGTATGGTGCCAGGTGTGTACCTGAAATACGGCAGGCGGTGGCACTTTGTAAAGATTATGATTGTCTAACCATTATGCTGCACACTTGACACTAATACGAAACACTGTTGAATGTAGACTGTAATTGAGAAATAAAATTTGGGGGGCGGGGGAAGCCAGCTATAACGTGGATGAAATAACCCCCAAATCTATAGTTCTTCCTGCAGAAAGAGAATCACCAAAGGAGTTCTGGGCCCTGTGCTTTGACAGTCTCGTTCAGTGACTCTAGAGTGGAACTCAAGGGTGTAAATGTTTGTTAAGAATTCCCGCGGGGTTCTGATGTAGCTGGACACCGGACCGTTCTGCAAAGAGCCAGTGCGGTCCTCAGAGGAGCCCAAGGGCGCAGGGCACACGGAGAGGGTCGGGGAGAGGAGCCCTACTTCAGACTCCCAGGCCCCGGGGACGAGGTGCTGCGGAGCTGTGGTTCCCCAACATGGGAGCTTCAGCAGACCTGCGCCATGCGCTTATACTCACAAATAGGGTCCACGCTGAGGCCAGCCACCCAGGATATTCACCGGTGATAGGAAACGCTTATCTCTTTAGCATTTGCCACCTTGATCCTTGAGGCTGAACCAACCAGGCTGCATTTTCCAGACCACTGAAAAAAAGTATGTGCAGAGAAAAGTGAAAAAGCGTGCCCTTTCAGGAGGGGGAGATCCGAGGGCTTCCGTTTCAAAATTTTTTTCCAATAACCTGGGAGCTCAGATTGGTCACGTTGAAAGGAAGCGAGTGAGGGCGGGGAGAATGAAGTAGTGGAAAAGCCAAAATCCTGGGCCCTGTTTTGGTTTTGAAGCTGGAGATTTTGAACTTCTTGAGGGTTCAGTTGCTCCAAGCCTGTGGACTGAGCTGCATGTTACAGCTGCATGCTTCTTGGCGATGCACAAGTTCTTTTCTGAGCTGAACAAAACGGTTTATGTAATTGCATACTTCTCATAACTATTGAGTAATTATATACTTCTTATAATTACTGAGTAATCATTGTTCTATAATTAGAATGCAGTGTTACAACTAATTGTGTAATTGCCATGTATTAATGTTATCTGGGAAACTTAGAAATAAAGTGGTATTTAATATATTTCCCCCTGCCATGCCATTTTCAAAGCTGGCAGTAGTGTTTGTTTTACAACTATAAATTTGCTTCAAAATCCAACTAAATGCAAGAGGGAGAGAAACTCGCCAATATTGTAAGCATAGATACTAACTCATCGATCTTACATTTGCACCTTGTGTAAAATTGCATTCTCTTGGCTTAATTTTAGAATTTGCATTATTATTTTGTGGTTTGCAGTCTTTTGAAGGATGCCCACAGTTATGCTGCTCCCGAGGCAGTGGAGCATCTGCCCAGATCTTACAGGGTGAGGTGGCCTTTTTGAAGGTTTACGGCTGGGTGGGCGGCCGCAGCTGTGCTGGCTCAGGCTGCCGGGGGGCTCCACGCGATGGGAACGTAAGGGGCTTCAGATGTGCTGATGGCGTTTTCTCTCAGTGTTCAGAAGCGATTCACGTTTCATCTGGGCCAGGTTTGCGGAGTGCAGGAACTGTATCTCACGCATTTTGAACGTACTGTCACAAGTGCCTAGCGAAGTCTACTCCCAGCATGCAGTTGGAGCTCAAGAATCTTTGGTGGAATGCGGTTGACTAGTTGTCAAGAACCTGTGAAAGCTAATGAATACAGCACAATTTGGGAGGGTCTATTCAGTGAGTCAAGAAGTTGTGAGAGGCTACTTTGCAGGTTTCAGGACTTCTTGCTAATATATGCTAAGCATATATAGCTGTGGATTGTCTATTTTCAGTTTAGGAACTTAACCCCATTCCTAGGCTGCGAATATGTCTACATCCTGTTTCACTAAAAATGAATGGAAATGCATATTTCTGTGTTTCAGACTGTAAGTACCACTTACTCCCTTTGGGGACGAGTAAAGGTAAATATAATTAAGTGATTTGGCGAAGGAAGAAGGCTATTTGCAATAAATGTTACTATTCTTAATGGTTCTTTTTTTTTTTTTTTTTTGGTGTTTTAAGAGTAACTATAACTAAATGTTATTAAGAATAAGCAATATTTTGAAAAAATTTCCAAATGCAAACTTTTCAGGAAAGCATCTAACATTGAAAGTGAAATAAATGTTACAACACAATTTTGGGGTTGGGTCCTTTTCTACTTTAAAGTCTAATTTCTCGTTCTCCTTACCGTCGAATATAACCCGGCTGTGTAGAAGGGGAGATAAAACCCTGTTATCGGGCAGCAGAGTGTCCCCGTGCCCCAGATGCCCTGAGATTTGAGAACAGGTTTGCCAAAGCCTTGGCGGGATTGGGGGTGACGGGGGCGGGGGGGGGCAGTGCAGGGAGGCAGGACACATGGAAAGCGGTCGTGTTCCACGCCAGGCAGCCACCATGTGTTCCCAGAGCGGAAAACCGACCCCGCCAGCTCAGAGCGGGCACGCAGGACTTGCCCTCTGCAGTGGCTCTGACCGATTCTGATGTAAACAGGCCGTAGGGAGAAAGCAGTCAACCCATCTCTCGAGCAAAGTAAGCAGGAATTGCTCCAATTGATAATAAAGAAGGCTTCTGACGCAGATGTTTGACTGTACTATTTACATGTATATCCAGAACCACTCTGTTTGGGGGAAGAGTGTGATTTCCATGCAGCCTGCACATCACAGGAAATTCAAGTATTTCAGAAACCCTGAAACAAATTGTAAATAATTCATCAAGTGATCAGTTTATACATCCATGCCGTATTTTTGCTTATCTGCCTTATACATGTGACATGGCATTCTACAGTCTTAGGACACCAGTCCACTAATTTTGATCCCTGTGATTGAATGCATTAGAAATGATACTGTGTTCTCAGATAACATTTTGTTCACAGCGTAACAAAGCAAAAGTAGGTGAATGTACTGTCTCTTATGGTGGTGATAGTGTAGTTCTGTTTAGTACTGGAAATTTAGGAAACCAAGACAAGGTTTAAATAATCACGGAAGAGAATCCTTAAATACATACTAATTTGAGTGTTTCTTTTTTACTCAGCAGATAATAACTACACTCTCCTAAAGGGCACAAGAGTGGTGCACAGCGGTGGAGAGGCTGACCTCTGGGTGCCTGTCGATGGGCTGCTTCCTTTTACTAACTATACCGTCCAAGTGAATGCTTCCGGTGCCCAAGGCAGCTTGCTGAGTGGCCCCGCCGTCCTCGTCACGCCGCCAGGCGGTAAGTCTGCAGACGCCGCCGGCTGTCTCCTTTTTTACTAAGTCTTTACTGAACACTGTGTTTACTGTCAGCATTCTTTTTTTTTTTTTTTTTTTTTTTTTTTTTTTAGAACTTAGGGGCTCACTTGTACGACTGGTTGATTTGGTGGTGGTTTTATGGAGACCCTGTTACTGATATTATTTTATTGTTTTGTTGAGACTTTCCCCTCATACCGTGTGTTCATGTGTGTGTGTGTAAACACACAAGTATTTCTCACTTTATACATAGTAAAAGATTGCAAAACGCTTTTTTATTTGAGACTTCATTTAGATTTAAAACTTATATATTCAATTTGAGCTTTCATTTTCTAACACAAGTGGTTCTTGTCCCTGGTTTGTTGAAGATGTCATTTAGATGTATATCTAAACCTTTTCCATTTGGCAAAAACAGACAGTGTATAGGAAAAACTCTACTCACAGCATGGGAAAAACACCTTTAAATTCCATATCTTAGTGATTAGAATTCAGTATTATCATGTTCACATGCGAAATGTGATACAATCTGGGTATTTTTAACGATTTCTATAAAAAAAGGACCTAACTTAGAATTGTTACTTTGATCTGCTTCAATTCCAGCCTGTTTTGACTGTTTGGGGGACTAATTACCAAAAAGAAAATCCCCTCTTACATTGACATGTATATCCCTTGAATAGAAAGTGTGCCTTGGGGTAGTAAGAGTGTGATTCTGAATTGTGTGTTTGGGAATGTATGTTTTCCAAAAGCACCAAAGGAAAGCACCTCAGGACACCCGATGTCTGTCTGGTAGCCCAGCTCCAGGAACAGATGTGTCCTGGAGAAGGGAGGAGGTCAATATCTTGTTAACAGGAATCTGCAGGGCTGGAAAAATCCCTCTCCAGTTACAATGAGCATAAAAGCCAGAAAGGCCTCCGGACGGGAGGAAAAGAAGAGCTACCGTGCAGTGCGTGCGGAACCCCTCTTGCAGGGAAAGATGCATTACCTGCTGTAGCATAAAAACAGCGCACTATTATCTACCTTTTATGGCATTATAGAATTGATGAATGGATGTTTACTGAAACACTTGAAACTCTAACTGGCAGAAACCACGTTGTTTAAGAAAAGAATGCCTGAAATAGACTTTTGGGGCTAATCAACTCAAATAGCATCATCTTTCATGAGCCCGTCATAAAAATGGGAACTGAAGTTCCATCGGTGCTTATTTAAGAATTGAGACCAAAGGAAGAAGCCTTGGGTATTTAGATCTTCCTTTTTGGACTCTAACCCAAAGTACTGGAAAGATGAGAAAATTGTGATGACTCTATATCTTAGTATATAATGTCCTTTATTCACATTTACATATTAAAGAGGAATCAGTGTTTTAACAGAGATTTTTTTTTAGAGTTACATAGTAATATCTTCTTAACAGGATATGGAATATTTAATGATATATTAATTTTATTTGAATGTGGATTTAGTTTGTAATTTACATCAATTTACAACACATTCGTAAAATAGGGCTAATTTAATTGTTTATGTGTTTGAGAACGTATGGTCTAATATTCTGTATTTATGTGCATGTAGGTGTGTATTCACACACGCACGCACACACACACGCACACACACACACACACAGAATTCAGTCAAACACGGCATGCTCCTGCGGGGGAACCCAGCGCGCACTGCGTGGCTCTGTCTGTCTGGGTTAGCAGGCAGGCTGAGGTTGTGCGAGCAGGAGGGAGCCACAGCGCTGTGGGCAGCGTGTGGAAGCGAGCCGCCCACGCCTGGCTCCGCTGCTGCGCTGCTCTGCGGGCATCTGTCCCCGTCCGCGTCACAGTGCGCTTCAGGGCCTGCTCTTGGGCATGCACTGTGGGCGGCCGGTCGCTCTGTGTGCTTAGTAACCCGGGATGTGAGACGGCACTTCACCAAATGAGGAAGCAAGATATCTTCCAAGACAGACAGTGATTTGCCCAAGTTTATTGCAGCCATTAGGATGTACTTTTTTTTCATTATTAGATTGTTGTTGATTACAATTAGGAAACTTATAGCTTTGAAATTATCTTTTTTATGACCTTGTGGCAGTTGAAAGGCGATACCTCATTGATTAAATAGGTTTTAGTTCATGCTTCCTTTTACCTAATGATCTGAAAACATATTACCCTGATTTACACATAAAATCATGCTGAAAAGCATGTGGCATTCACGAGAATATGTGTGTTTAAGTAGAATTAAATTAGTACTGAGAGTTATTAAAGAAATCTTCCATGCCTCTGTCCAGTGAACTGCAGTTCATACTGAAATGAATTATAAATGAACCGAGATGCAGAGAAGCGAACCAACTTATGGACAGAGGAGGTCCTATGTGCTATTTACTTTGCATTATACTTAGATTGTTACCATTATTGCCGTTTCCCTGATTTCAGTATTAGATCTCTTTTATGGTGAATTCCCACTATGTTGCCATGCTGGATTATGCAAGATTTGTAATGGTAATAGCTTTAGCTTTGTTTTCTTCTCTATGTTGTTTAACACATAATAATAGAAGGTTTGGGTAAATAAAAATGCTGTCTTTTCTTTATCAAATGCTTGCTATCAAACTTAAAATTTCCTGTACTCCCTTGATCTGGCCAAATCCTCCTCACATGTTTGGCTTCAATTTAGAAATCTGTCCATCAGAAAGTCACCTTTTACCAAGTGAGGCTGAGGGTACGGTCTGTGTCACGTGGTGGAATCCCATTGTACTGATAGTACCTGTCCAACCTGACTGAAACAATCCCAGGTTATCCGATCCCACCCAGCAGGGACTGTTCCGTGTGCACATTTTTATCTTCAGCACCTAGACCAACCCTGACACGTGGTAGGCGTATGATGAACAATTAATGAGTGAATGAATAAATAAATCAGCCAGAACGGCTTAATTCCCAATCTTAGGCTCCACGACTGTCATTGCTCAGGTCTGCCCAGGCCTCAGCTTCGATCTGAGCGGCCTTGTATTTATCAGGCTGTGGAAAGTGTGCCCTGCTCAGTGTAGGGACGCTGTAGCCACCGGCCGTTAGGGGACCAGACTGTAAGGAGGGCAGGAGTGTGGAAGAGACGAAATCCTCTCCGATGGCACCAGCTCCTCACTCACAGCCCTTCCCCATAGCGGTCACTTCTCTTATGCAGCCATAGGAAGAACAGACCATGGTTTACGTAGGAATTTAGAAAAGGAGACATGAAGGGACGTGGCACGGAACAGTCTACCCTGGCATAGCATCTCTTGGTGGATGGTTGCGAGACATCTTATTTGATATTAGCTTTCTGTATGTTTCAAGTGAGGACAGAAATGTGATTAATGTGCTGTGTTTTGAATACTGTTTATGCCTCAATAAAACCAGACATTTAAAAAAAATCTAAACTCCCTAATAATCTAATTTCAAAGCCTAGTTGATTCTATCAGATCTGCCTGTTTCGTTGTTATTGTTTAATAAAACTAATTTTATTAGAAAAATAAAATTCACTTTGACCCTCCCCTCCCCCCAAAAAGAGGGACACAATTGAACAGTATGATAAACACAGGTTATTTTAAAAATGGAAATTAAGACATGTGAAATCATGAAACCAATATATCAGTATTTATGTAGTGGCAAATCTCAAACAGCACACATTTTTTACTTTAAAAATTATTTTGAAAGAGTATTTGGTCAACTGGAGAATCTGTTTTCCTTCCAATTTATACAGCATACCCTTACCTATGTCTGTGTATCCAGACTTTTATATTTCTGCAGCAACCACATTTTTATGTACATTTGTTCGTTATAACACAACATTCAGATTTGGCACTAAGATACTCCTCGAAATGAAGAATATACTTAATCAGAGCTCTTGAATAGCATTATAGTGCAGGTTCAAGAGTTCTAGGCAAAGAATTAAAAAAATAAAAACGGAATCCAAATGCTAATCCATAAATATGAAACTTCCCTGTGGCCTCTACCCCCTCAAGGTCTGGAGTTACTAATGGGGTTAGGATTTCAGCTCTTAATGGGGCTGGGTGCATTAGTGTTTTGTATGCATGGAATTCAGCATTCAGTTTAATAAGTGGTTGACATTGGTGATGTCCCTTAATTTGCTTAAATCTAATTGGCTCTTTTATCAGTCAAACCTGTATGGATTGGCAATTGATCAGAAAGGGTCAGCCATGACTCCGCATGCAGTTAAACGATGGAACCGCCCGTTACAGCCGCAGGTGCATGATAATAAGCAAGGGGAGAGCAAATGAGCTTAGAGGAGGAAAGCAAAGCGGCCGACGAGTTTCGCAGGATCTTCAAGTTCAGAACAAAGGCATTATAGAGTGTATAAATTTTAAATACACCGCATTTTGCCTCCAGACTTAAACCTTTTTTTTTTTTTGCATATGAACTCAAATCTTGTCTGAAACTGTCTTTGTTACATCAAAGAACTACTCAGAAAGCTAAGAGAGACAGAAGAAGCATAAAAGGGCATAGTTTAAAATGATTAGTGACAAACTCCATACTGATGAGCTAGAAAGAGGTTTTTTTATGAAAGTTTTATATTTTTCCAAAAGGAATAATTTTATTCCATTTATCTTTTTCTGACCTGCTTTATAGTAACAGTGAAAGCAACTCAGAGCCAACTTAGTTGTGAAGTTAATCCAGCTTTCTAAATCCAATGTATAGCTTCAAATTGATGAGAATTATTAAATCTACAAACTCCATAAAAATACTAAGCTTAGGGACTGCGTCTCTTTTATAAACATATGTTATTAGAAAAATCACAAATAGAGAATGGCAAAATGATTGTGAGTGGTTTGTTTTGGAACTTGTTTTAGTTTATCTCTTCTCAGTCTCACTCCCTAGCAATGAAAAGTAGTAAAATTCATTTTGAAGTAGCACTTAGGCACATTGTAAAGGCATAGACTTTGCAGTTCTACAAACCTAGTTTTGATTCTGCTTCTTTCCCTCACTGGCTGAGTAATTATGAGCAAATCCACAAATACATCTGAATCTA